ATTGGGATAAAATGATAGCAACAAAGATAGACAAATGTAATAAAGATCAAAAGTAAACCAATCAGATTTTCGTCCTCTCTTTTTATTTAATTATTGAACATCACTCCAGGTCTTCCTACAAATTTATTCTGTCGTATAAATCAGGGTTAAAACTTGGAAAAAAATTACAATTTTAATTCATATTTCATTATAAGAATTTCACATTGTTTTATAACTTTTCAAGACAATGAGTATCAACACCAGCCAATTGCTCTTAGAATCTTACTTTATTTTCTCCCAAATCGTCTAAATTAAAATAAAAGCGACTCCAAAAAATCTACACAATTTCATTGCAATGTACAGTACAATTTTTACTCTGAAATCACAGGTTTTCTAATCTAAACCATAAACGCGATGTCATGTTGGTCTCCACAGCCCTGACAAAAACGTCTCACCTAATTTTATTTTGCTTGACTTAAAAATAATTTACACCATAAAACATCAGTACAAGTGAAGTAACATTGTTGAAGTTCATTTTTTTTTTTTACTCTAGATCAAATCAAGGGGGTTCGCTCATAAGTCCGACGCCTCATAGGTCCGACGCCTCATAAGTCCGACAAAATGGCATCCCCTGACCAAATAAAGGCCCATAAGTCCGACGCCTCAAAGGTCCGACGCCTCATAAGTCTGACGCCTCATAGGTCCGACGCCTCATAAGTCCGACGCCTCATAAGTCCGACAACGGAAAACGAGCCGTTTAATTTGTCGGACTTATGAGGCGTCGGACTAATAGGGCGTCGGACCTATGAAGCGGAATAAATAAATGTTATGCCTCATAAGTCCGACGCCTCATAAGTCCGAAATTTCGGACTTATGAGGCGTCGGACCTATGAGGCGTCAGACTTATAATACGGCCCCAAATCAAGATCAGCACATCAACAACCTTGAAAAATTGTTCAGGGTGTGTTGCGGCATTGTACCAAAATGGAAAAAATAAAATGAAAACCCTGAAGAGATTTAGTAATTATGACAAAATGAAACCCAAATATCTCATAGATGTATCTGCAGACGAGCTACATCGTCATCTTACACAGATTTGCCATCTCTGCTATTCCAATCTGTACCTCCCAAAAAAACATCAACCTCCTAACGAATGGCCTCCCCATCCAGAAAGAGGAACATGTGCCATTTGTGCTAAAGTGAATGGTGACAAGACAGGTCGGCCAGCAGCTAAATATGCCAGACTGGAGAAACTGGATGGACATGAGCAAGCAGCACAAGATGCTGTTGTTGAACATCTGAACAACTTGGCCATGACAACAACAACATTTTACAGGGACAATTTCACTACTGATGAGTCTACCATATGTACGCTGTCAGATATGTAGCAAATTCTTCACAGACCGGTTGAAACCCAATGTCAGCACATTTTTTTGTTTAGAATGCTTGCATAGTAGTCATTGGGGGCTCATCCTCAACAGTGCTTTGTCCAAGTTGTAAACAAAACATAATTTTGAAGGAGACCAAACCTGTCCGCAATTATGTCATCCACACCATGGAAAATGCTAAAGTTACTTGTAGAACATGCAGAAGGGGTAGTTGGTTGAAAAATACACCAGAACACAACTGCTTTGACCCACTGACTTCGCAACAAGTTGATGAGCACACATTCCAGGATATAATTAACAGGAATATATCTGCACTTGGCAAATCAGGTGAAAAGGTTTAATACATCAACACTGTTGAAGAAACACCTAGAATCTAACAAGGGACCTGTTGCTCGGCTTTCTACTGGTGGAAAGGCAAGTTAATGTGTTAATTTATTGTGTGGTAAAACCTCTCTCACGTTAATTCCTTGACTGTACACTGCTCTCACTTATTTAATTTAAAAAAAAAATCATTTTTTTTCCTTATCAGTTCATTATTAATTCATTTGGTACTGCCCTAGGCAATGTACATTCAAAGAGTCCCACACCCTGACAAGCAAAGCACCGAGGTCTCACCGAGAACACTCTTCCGCCGAACCAAAACAATAAGACCAACTGAGAGAAATAAGTGGACAGTCAACACATCAGCTGCAGCACCTTCTTGGTACAGCTACCAGAAACGACCTGCAAAACCTCTTGCAAAAAATAAAGCTTCAAACATTCATCACCCCCGCTGGAAGAGCTACCCATCAAATACGATTTAGGTCTGTCTTGGTCTGCACTGCGAGAGCTAAAATTGTACACATTATATTGCTCCCTTTTAAAACAAATGAACAATAAAAAATAAATTGACCTCTCTTTAGAAAAAAAAAAAGGACCTGGCATCACACTTGACCTTAAAGTAACCTTATCTTTGACCCCTGACCTTTATGACTTCTTCAGACTCAAGACTCCACCTTCATAGCCCATGACTCAGATTTATAAATCAGTATTTTATGAGGAATAAAAAAACAACTATGTATTCCCTCATGAGCTGTTATTACCTGCTACTGACCAACATGCTTTCCAACTGGTTATTAAATCGTGATTTGTCAATTATTCTCTATCTTCTGACCGAATGCATTCCATGATAAGTACAGTGGAACGTCGTTATACCGAACAATCGGCTATACCGAACATCATGATTGCTATTACGATCAATTTATGTGGATCTCGCAATGTTCGTTATAGCAGCGTTCCACTGTACTTTATTAACTACTATGTAAACTATCAGAAATCAATACTTTTGCTTTAATGAGGTGGTTACGACAGTACAATGTTGTAATGGCCAATGGACAAGCCAGCCGCAGTCTTGGAAAAGCCTCTGTTGGGCAGGACATCTTGGAAGCAGAGAGGATGCCCTTCATTGCACAGGATGGCAGCGGTGGTTTGATGAGTAAACCAGCTCCCTGCATCTCCATCACCGACTTGAAGACATACACTTTTGGCCTGTTGGATGAATATGACAGGTATACTTTGAATATTCAGATAAATATGTCATGAATTATCAGGGGTGGGGGGGGGGGCGGAATTTGGTCCCCAAATCAATAGGGGGGTGGGGGTGGCCACTCGTACCGTACTTTCAATGGGGACGCTGTTCAAATCAGACGATTGGTAACACTATATTACAGAATAGTGTACAAATACCCCTTAACCAAGCTGGCTCTGTACGTATTTTTTGCAAAGCTGCCTGTATATTTTTTAGGGGGTCGGAGCGGGGGGGGGGGGCTATATCTTTTAGGAATTTCTATGAACACAATTTGTTTTTGACACAGCTGGGGGGGGGGGGGGGTTCCCGCCTGATTTTGCCCGCCGGATCCCCACCTGATTATATTATACACATGTAAACACATAACATTCATTACAATACACTACTTGTTAGTCAGTTTATATTATATGGATCAATGCACCTTTTGTTAACAAATGTGGCAAGTTGCGCTGGACTGAAAGGAATGCCCACAGATGAAATCAATTGGGCGGTGATAAAGGGGGCGGAAGTTTCAATCTAATGCTTGAAGTAGCTAACATCGCCAGTACCAATTCACATCAGAACACTAGTGTTGTCAGTGTAAAGGATGGCACTTAAAAGTTCCAGTGAACTTGACTGTGTAATGACGAATGACTACGCAATCATGTATCAGCAACAGTAACTCGCAGCTTTAATCACGTAGACACGAAACATGAAGCATGAAGCACCTAACACGTAACACGGTTTAATCTACATAAACAAAACAAAGAATAACAAATACAAATCAGGATTGATACACAAAAACAATATTACAGATGTCCAGTTAGGGGTAAATTAGCTGTAGCACATGTGCGAATCCCATGTAATGTTGTATGTTAAAGTCTATATGCACACATTTTACATGACACTTTTACACAAAGTTTCCCCAATAAATTAACCCAGAAATATTACTTTTATCCCACAAATATCTAGATGGCCATGTTCTATATATGTCTAACAATCATATAAAAGGATTTAAAAATTATTAAACTTACGACTTTGGGCTGTCCAAAACAACAAATTGCCTGACGAAAAGTGACGTTGACATGAAAAGTTTGACGTTATCTAAACGTTTTTAACCCAACTGACTTGTTTTACGGTGGTGTGCAATAGCGCCCTCTCTTGACGAAGAATACAGATACACAAAAAGTTAACCTAATTAGCATATTACACAAACGAAACATTCTGACCCAACAGTCTGTGCTTTTGAAGCTTCAGACAGTGCTTCAAATTTGCACATGGCACTGGACAGGTACAAGGAGCAAGTTGAGTCCATCACTAACACAAAATGGCGGTACAAAAGTGATTATTGTGTTTGCTTGCAAAATTGTTTGTTTGTTAATCACAATCTTTGCACTAACCACTAACCTCGTATTTTGTCCTTCATTCTCAGATGAAAGAGACTTGTAATTTATCTCTTCGGGGATTACGGATTCCTATGTAGGATGTACGGCTTGTCCGGTCCAAGTGGTAAGTACAGCATCATCCAAAACTAAGCTTGTAAATGCCTATCAAAAAACTACATGTTCTCTGCATGAAAAAATGTCATCATAAATATTGCAGTGTCCTATCTTATTTGTTCAGATCGTCACCCATGCTTGCGGTGTACAATAACGAGTAAAGCTATGGCAATGAAGAAAGATGATCGGCCCCCTTGCACCCCAAGAAATCTCCAGGCACTAGCCCAGGATCACACCAATTTCATTGAAGCTGGAAGTTTTATCAAGAATGCCAAAAAGTTTAACAATGTAATCGACAATAGCTTCTTTGATGTTCCTATCAATTTGGTAAGTGAGAGGTGATCTGAAATGAAAATATGTTAACTTCAAACAAAACAAATATTGAATCAATGTCAATTTTCAGCTTCCTCATTTATGTTTTGAAGGTTTGTTCCCCATCCCTACACTAAGCCTTGGTGTATGGTTCAAGCTGTTCATCCTTGGAGGAGTAATGCTGTAAACTGTTTGAAGGTATAGCCGAAACACTGGCACGAGCCCCAGACAAGGTGCACTCCTTACCTAATGGCCCGCTACCATTGCACGTGGCGAAACTCTCAGATGTTTTTGCTGCCAGGGACAGGGCTGAGGAGATTCGCGGTCAGATTGATGACCTCAAGGAACAGCTAGCAGTTGTTGCGCTGATCAATGACACGGTGGACGTGCAGGATGTCACTGTGGAAACTGGAGAAGAGATCAAGAAACTAAATGAAGAATTAGCCAGACAGGTATTTCGCTTGCCCACAGATCAGTATGCATTTTTAATTCCATGGCTTAATGTGTTTGTCTGGCAGTCAAGCTTTATTTGCTAAATGTTTTTTAAAATCTATTTTTACAGGAATTAATAGCTTCAGTCGCTATTCAACCGTAACCTTCAAGAAACAACCCACTTCCCATAAAACTTGAAGAGACACTCCAAGAATGCAAAGTCAGACGCCAAGCTTCCTACTCCAACACATTCATCGGCAATAATGTTCATAAATACCTGAGGGTATGGTACATGCGACGGAAATACAATGGAACTTTTCATTTATTCTTCACAAAATTTGTTGTAAATGTTAATCAAATTTGAATTCTTTTTACTACAGGAGGTGAACATACAAAAGCTAACATCTTCAATCGTTGATGAAACGTCTCATCTCTGTCCAGCTAAGCACAAGGAGGCAGAATGCATCGCAGAGAAGTTTTCAACATTGTTCACACTGTTCTCCGAATGCCACAATGTTTACGATGCAAGTAGACACCTGGATTTGACAGAAATAACACAGCTTAGTAAGTGAGCATAACATGGAGAAGTAGAATGGATAAGTCAATATCAGAATAACATACAGCAGCATTAAAAATGAAAATATACACACTTGTATTTAATAAATAAACGATTGCTTAACAAATTTAGTTCACGTGTCAATGCGCAATAATGATGTGCTACAGACTACCTTGTGCTTTTTTTCTGTCTTCCTGCAGAGCATGACATCAGTACATTTCTGAAATTCTTTTGCTGCGACTTCCCAACAAAAACCATTCCTCCAAAAATGCACGATGGAAGACCACATGATTCCATTCATTCGTCGCACACAACACGGGCCGGGACTGTTAGGGGAACAAGGGGGTGAATCCATGCATGGGATCTTCAACACACTCCACAGAAGATTCGCCGGCACACGCAACACACGGAAGAGTGATCTACACCTCTACAAGCTGGGATGTGTGATGAGGGAACATCTTCTCATGGTCAATCCCTCCATCTGAAATCTTCGTCCAACCAACTGAAGTCATCCTGGTATAGTCATCGTGAGCCTTCAACATGCCTAAAATAAAATGAGCGAATATTACAATAAAGTGCCTCATAATACTAGTGTAGTGAAAGAAATAAAAGTAATACATCATAGCAGGGCTTAACTCGGAAATAAAATGTCATTCATGTCTAAAAAATACTAAGCCTGACTAACTTTCGGCGAGTCCATAAAAAATGCACATAGGCCTATAAGTATAACGAGCACATTGTAAATGGGTATGCTGCAATATGTGGCGTGTCAAGGGCGGATCCAGAACACAATTTTTTTGGGGGGCCCAAAACAAAATTTGGTTCCTCCCAAAAAGTGGGTCAAAAAAAATTACGGCGTGGGGTTCGGGGCCCACTTAAGGGCCCCAAATTTTTTTTGGATTCTAGATGCTCTGTGGTGCGATCTGAGGCAATTTCTGACCACTATAACCAATATTTTTTTTGAGGAAAAGATGGTGGTGATGGGGGGGGGGGGGGCATGGCCCCCTTTGGCCCCCCCCTCTGGATCCGCCCTTGTGGAGGGTTTGCTCGTCCAATTTTGCGATTCAATCATTGAAAAGAGGTTAAATATATCTGGTGCAGTCAATTTTTCTATAGGAAAATTCATTTAATGTAGTAAATGAAGAGTAAAGTTACTAAACAATCACGAATACATCAAAAACTCACGGTAAGATGCCGTTGACAGGTGCTTGTTTTGCGAATGATTTCACGTCGCTTGATCGACCGAACGTGCATAAAATGAGGTCAGCTAGAATCACATGACCCTGGCATGTCGTCATCGACACAAAATATCCTGAATATTCATTTATATTGCCATAGGAGGAGTTTGTTTTGTGTTTGTTTACATCGCCGAATCGCTCATGAATATTCATCACACGAATTTCGTCAACAGAGGGCGCACTGCATGCGTGCAAAAGCCGTGCGTGCGCAAAACTATTTGTCAGCTGGGAAACGGCGGTGAGGTGCAGGCGCAACAATGACTGTATCGTGTAACGAGCGCTTTGATCTGTTGACTGGCTGACAACAGTACTTTCTACGCTCTAGATCATGCAGGTACCACCGAAAATGCCCGGATGAGGACAATATCAAAAGTAATATTTTCCGCATCCGGGTTCTTTACTTACGCAATATTGTAGTCATCTAGGATTTTTTAAAGAAAGCATTCAATACACTGATTTATTTTAACCACTGGAAGCCTTTAATTATAATTAAGAATATTTGCTTGCATAACTCTTTTTGGACACTGTTGAGAAAAGTGCCACCGCTAATTTAAATGGGCGCCACCTTGCGGCGCAATCCAAACGCGTGTAAACGGTCAGGCGTCGGCAAGCCGAATCGGGGGGAAAACCATGGCCGGATAAGGATGGTGAGGGCAACTTTTTCCCTTATAATAACTGTCTCTGATTGTTTATAGTATAATTCCAATAATTCCATCGATCCACCGTTACGTATATATTAGTGAATGTACATGTGCATGTATTTAGGTTTTCGACATCGTGTTTCTTGCCCTTGTTTAATTATTTCATTGTTTCCCTTCAGAACGGGCTAACCACTGCCAGTGTAAATGGGCTTACGGGCTTATGATGGGCACTCCTCAGTGTTTAACAAGGGCTACCACCGTGCCTACCAAGGCTTTTCATCTACATCACTCATGCATATACTGTGTGTACTTTCCAAGCCAAGAACTTGATAATAAATTCAAAGTTTTCTGCTACGCCCAGTCTCTCCAACGGTCATTTCCTTTCTCTCTTTGCCATTCCATAACATTTTGGTGACCCAGACGTGATTTTTCGCGCATACACCTAGCTTCACAATCAACAGCTTGACAGTTATTTGGCGATTAACATGGAAACTGACCCAAATATCAAACGCCGAGTTCTGCGATCCCATGCTGCAGAACCACCTGTAGAAATCCAACCGGATGTTTCCATACCACTGCTTATTAAGCAACGCAGTGTCCAAGGATCGTCCAAGAGTGGAAGCAGCAGCCATGCGTCTTCGTCGCAGCGGTCACAGAAGAATGTTCACCTGCGACAGCAAGAATTTGCGCTGGCCCAGCTCCGCCTGGAGATCGAGATGAAATCAAAAGCAGAGCAAAACGCGATCGACGAACGCCTACACTGTTAAAAAAATGTCTGTTCATTAACAGTTGATTCTATTGTCAATTGGCATTACAGGAGTTACTGTTTTTGCACAGTATATTCTACTGTTTCTTTTTTCTCTGTACATTAACAGCAGATTCTACTTTATTTGATATTGTTCAATTACAGGGGATTCTACTGTTTTGCAACAGATGATTAAGTGTTGTCGTTTTGTAACCTAACAGCATATTCGCTGTTTTTTTTGTTCCTAAACAACTCTCTGTTGCTGAACAACAGGTTGTTTTTGTTTAAACTTGGTGATTATTTGATGGGGGCCGATGAACGACAAAGTGTTCATGTTTGTATCGAGGATTGCGAATGACAGGTCCTCTGTGAGCCTCAGTACACAGATATTCTCGTATAATGAACGTACTTCACATGCAGATACTTGTAACACGTCATGTAATGGCGGTGCTATCGATAAAACCCATGAAGGTTCGAATGTAGATACTTGCACGTTGGCTTACGGCGAGTCATGCTGCAATGACAACCAGGCAACTTTCAAATGTGTTGTTGACAATCAGGCTTACAAACTGAAACCGCTTCTATATAGCGCTTTTCCTTGAGAGTAATAGTCATTTACAATACAAAATACAAACATGTAAGCAGAAACGGATAAGTAACTTTGCTCCAAGATGCTACCGTACGCATACGCATGGACCCACGGGAAGTTGTATGGCACTGTATAGTCCGACTCCCGCGCGCGCCTTCCTTGACAACATACTGGTACCCTTAAGCGTTTATGCCACAGTAACGTTGCACTACTACCGCCTACCAGGGAAAAATCACGCGATACGGCCGAACCCTGTATAAAAAAGATGATTCTCGGTTGACCGACAGCGATGTGACTGTGTTCTAACAGAGTCAGAACGGGGGCTTGTTCAAAACATGATGTTCCTTGTGCGTCCACAGAATTTTAGTTTAACAGCGAATATACCGTAACCAAACGGAGAAATGGAGAAAACTGTACGTAGGCAGTAACACATTGGTAGATTTACAGAAAAATCCGAAAACAGTAACATCTACTGTAAATTTACAGAAGTTTCAACAGAAAAACAACTGTTATAATAACGCAATTTTTTACAGTGTATCATCGCTGAATGAGGAACAACATCTTCTCAAGAGAAAGGAGAACCTTTCCAGGCAGATGGAACTCGAACTGCAACTGCGGAACGCCGAGATCTATCTTGCACATGCAAAAGTTGACTCAGAACTTGTTTCCAAAGACAATTTGGGGGAACCGAATCTCTCACCATCCGAAGGGCCAAATATAGGCTACAAAATTCCTTAGCGGCAAACCTTAGTCTGCAAATATAAGCAATGCTTTACGCGAAAGCTGCAGCGTACAGCGTGGCCAGCCCCCCAAAAAGATATTTTTTGGACTGGAAAATGACTAAATCCCCTTCACCAAGGCCATGTTAACACTAAAGCGACTCTATGGTGACATAGGTGTACTCATTCGCGCCAAAATTGAGCGTCTCACCGCGTGGCCGAGAGTAGCAGCAAATGACTCAAATGGAAAAGTAGAATTTGCCTCAGCAGTCTCCACCCTCATCACCCAACTTGAAACCGCTCCCGAGGGACAGGCGGAGCTTCGAGCTAACTCCACCGCCTGCGTTCTGTATGGTCGACTGTCAAACCAGCACCAAACAGCTTTCTTGAAGCAAATGGAAGCTAAGCGCATACATATCTTTTCCTTGATCGACCTAAACCGTTGGTTAAAGGAAACTGCATCCGTTGCACGGAAAAAGGTGCCATTTGAAGACAGCCTACGAGTCGGCTCCAAAAGTAACCATGACTATCGTCGACGAGGCGTGTCCACCTACCATACCGAGAGTGGAAACAAGAGCCAAAGCCAGTCGGCTGGAAAAAGTAGCAGCAATCGAAACACATCTGCCAACCAGTCACCAGGCAGTGGAAAGCAGCCATTCAGGAAGTTGTGTCCTCACTGCAAAAATGACCACTGGTTATCCCGATGCAACGAGATTGGCAAGCTCACAGTAGCAGAGCGATTGAAGTGGATCAAAGATGGTCGTCGCTGTTGGCAGTGTGCACGCCTGCACAAAGAAGGTCAGAGCTGCGACTTGAAGAAATACTGCCGGGAGTGTGATCAACTCCATCTCACCTTCCTTCACAATCTTGTCGCTCAACCAGGCTACGGAGTCTACTACTGCAACTTCAATCCCATTTTTTCCGCCTTTTACAGTAATGGTAATCCGTGGCGACCCAGAGATGTGAGCATGAAAATCGTTCCTTTTATCCTTAACGGTGACGAGACCCAGCTGAAGACTCACTCTCTTCTAGATGATGCTGCCAACTTTACCATGATGTTACCAGAGGCAGTCAGAGCTCTCCGTCTTAAAGGCAAAGGCACAGAGATGCCTATAGCCACTGCTCGAGAGGAGTGTACCCCCTGTCAAGGAACCCTGCTGAAGCTCCAGATCGCTCCCGAAGATGACCCTGACAACAAGACTCTGTTGTCCCAAGTCTTCTCATCCCCAATGCTGCGGCTGTCCGAGCATTCAGTCCCAGCTAGGGATCTGCAGAAAAAATGGGCTCACCTAAAGGACCTTCCTCTTCATGACTGTAGGAATGTCCGTCCTCTGATGCTCCTTGGCAGTGACAGACCTGACCTGATAGTCCCAGTCGAGAGCCATTTTGGCCCAGAGGGGGCACCAGTAGCTGTCCGAACCAAATTAGGTTGGGCAGTGCAAAGGTCCCACGCTCACTTAGAGACGTGTAGGTGAGGTGAATCACCTGCAAGGACCTACCAGGCGTGAAGCCGATGAGGTCCTGCATTAGAATGTCTGCAGGATGTGGCAAAATGATGTACAAATGTACAATGAACGAAAGCAGGTGACCCGCTCCAAGCAGGATCAAAGAGCCGTAGATATCCTGGAATCCAACCTCTACCTTTGTCGAGTTGGATGGTGTCCAGCGGGTAGCAACACCACTCCTGTGGAGACGTGATGAAGACACATTCTCCAGTCCAGCATCCTCAGTTTTGCCAGCTCTTAGAAGAAATGAACAACGCCTTCAAAGGGACCCTGATCTTGCTGATGTCCACCGCAAGAAGATTGAAGAGCTAAAAGAGGCACGACTTGTTCGCACCCTGACAACCGAGGGTAGAGAGAAATTCACCCAGCGCCAGTGGTATATTCCATACCACGTTGTCAAGCAGAATGGTAAACACAGACTGGTGTTTAACTGCACCTTTCAATATCTGGGCGAGTCTCTCAATGATCATCTCCTCCCGGGCCCCACACTTGGTTCCACTCTGGTTGGAGTCTTGTTGAGGTTCCGTCGACACCTTGTAGCCATCTCAGGAGACATTATGGACATGTTTCACTGTGTCCTCACCCTTGAAGAAGACCGATCAGCGCTTCGCTTTCTCTAGAGGGAACTTGGATCCACTGCTGACCCAGATGAAGTGGAGTGGAATGTCTTACCCTTTGGGACAACTTGCAGCACTTGTTGCGACACCTATGCTCTCCAGAAACATGTGAGAGATATGATCCAGGAGCCAGACGTAACCAGAAGTGTGCTGGAAGCATTTTACGTTGATAACTGCTTGGATGGCAAACCAACTGCCGGAGAAGCGAAGGAGTTGGTGGAGAAGTTGGTCCCATCATTAGGCTTGGGCGGGTTCCCTATTGTCAAGTGGGCCAGCAATGTCCCCTCTGTAGTGAGTGATCTCCCTCTAGAAGCTCGCTTCAACAATGCAGAGTGCTGGATCAACCTGAGTGGCAATTCCCCAGAAGAAGCAGCCCTGGGGCCGAGGTGGAACTTTAGGGATGATGCTTTGACGTACCAGCTCTCTCTAAACGACTGGCCAACTCCGACCAGACGAACTGTACTTAGTAATGTCATGCATTGTGCTGGCAAAGACCCACTTGGATACCTTATGCCCTATGTAGTCAGAGGCAAGATGTTGCTGCAGGAGCTATGTAGTTATTGTGTAGTGGATTTATCCAGTATTCACCTCCCTAGGTGCTACATCCCAGCTCACATATGGAACCGATTGTCTCATTCCTTCTTTGGGATAGCCGATAGAGGGGGCTATTTATTTGTACAGCGCTCACCCTGGATACGTACTTTTACCCAATCAGGAGCGACAGTCAGTGCGCGCATCGCGCGCGCGTTCATGGCAATGTAAGAACGTGTCGATGGATTTGGCATGTAAACAGACGGAAATGTGTGTCAAAACCACCCATTTTTTACACAAATTTGAGACATCCATATATTCCAAGACAATTTACTTGTAAAATAAGACCCACACAGCCTTCTTGGAAAGCCGGCGAGCTAATTTACATCGAGGCAAGTGCATCAATTTCTGATAAATGTGAGTGTTTCCCGACCTTTTATTAGTTTCAGCGACGTTACTCCATGCATCCGCTGTGCGTATGTCGTCAGATGGTCACTTCCATTCTACTCTCGGGTGAATAGCATTAGCTCTGCTCCTGCACGCATACTTAGGCCTAGCCTAAACCGGCCCTAGGACAATGCAAAACTTGTCGAAGCTTTCACATTGTGAAGTATGCAGGATAATTTCAATGAAACCTCATGTTAAAATGAGTTGGCTGTTTAGTTTCTCAAAATAAATCCTTCAAAGAAATGAAACAGTCCATATGACCAAATATGGTAATGGATGTCCCCGAAACGCGATCAATGACACGGTACGGTGAACCTCTTTTGAAAGGAAAATATACCTACATAACATTTGCATATTGACCTTTTATTCCAATATTAATCGAATATTCATGAGCCATTCTTTCATATGCCGCGTGAACAAATTGTATAATGAGGTTCGATGGGTCACGACACGGCGCGGAAGATAGTGTTGTGATTTGCTTGAAGAAAGACCCATAAACATTACGCGTGTTTTGGTTAAAACAAGCAAGTCGAACTTCAAGCATACATGTACTAACACAAAAATGTCACAGTTTCTTACACTTTTCTCACGAAATGATCTTGAATAACTGTAGTTTCAGATACCGAGTGAACAAATTGTGCAGATTACTTAAAATGAGCACCATACAGTGATTTAAAAATGACAAATCCTTTTCGGCACCGAATTTTACACGCCTATCTCTGTTCCATCCTTGGCGGCGCCCTAAATGAGACAATCAGCTCCATATGCTTTGAGCCAGACCATGTCAAATATGAACTACACGTTTTCACCGATGCCTCTGAAAAGGCATATGGTGCGGTGGCTTATTTAAGAGCTACAGTTCCGTCGTCCGATGTCAGTGTGAGGTTTGTGCTGTCCCGCTCACGTCTTGCTCCAAAGCGTGTCCAGACCATACCTCGCCTGGAACTCCTAGCAGCTGTTTGTGGAGCCGAGTTGGTGGAGCTGCTGGAAGACGAAATAAAGATGAAGATGCCAATCACTTGTTGGAGTGATAGTACAACAGTGTTGTCGTGGATCAAGTCAGAGTCCTGCCGTTACAACCTATACATTGGAGCACGAATTGCTGAAATTCAGAGACTTACTGACCACACAGTGTGGCGGTACGTAGATTCAGCAAACAATTCAGCTGACGACCTCACCATAGGGTTGAAGCTGAGTCAGTTGGGTGAAAGCAGTCGTTGGCATTCTCCGCCATTCTTGCTCCTCCCAAAGGAGCAGTGGCCAGTGCTTCCGACACATGTTAAAGATGAGGAAGCCGATGCTGAACTCAAACACAAGGGATTCACTGCACAAACCGTCGCCTCAGCCAAGCCTGGTCCAGCCGTCGACCTCACCCAATATGCCTCCTGGGACGACTTAGTTGAGGGTTATTGTGCTGCTGTTTGTGAGTTCAAGGGAGAGCTGAAGCCTGACTTTCTGACAGCGGATCAGCGTTTGAAAACTGAGGGTCTACTGTACCAACGAGTACAAACTGACTGCTTTCCCGAAGAAGTTGCTGCTCTTCAGGCCGACAAAAACGTGTCCCCGAAGAGCCGTCTTTCCAGCCTTTCCCCCGAGCTCAATCCGAGTGTAATCTCATCCGAGTTGGAGGAAGGCTTCGTCGGGCGCAATCACTGAATGAGACAGTGAAGCACCCAGTTGTGCTTGACCCGTTTGGGACACTGTGGAACTGGAACAGTTCTGGCTGATCTGCGCCGCAGATTTTGGGTGTTACGAGGACGCCAAGCTATCCGTGGCTTACAGAGCCGTTGCTCTGGCTGTCTGAAGAGACGAGGAAGACCATCAGTACCAAGGATGGCAGATCTTTCGCTTGCTCGTTTCAGGATCAGTGAACCCCCATTCTATTCCATCGGTTTGGACTGTTTCGGACCCTTTCATGTCTCCATCGGAGGACGCAGTGAACAACGCTGGGGAATCATCTGGAAATGCATGACGACCTGGGCTGTTTACCTTGACTTGTTAGAGTCTTTTGACTGACTCTATTGCTTTTCTGCTTGCCTTCAATCGTTTCAGATCTAGGCGTGGAACTCCTCATGAAATTCTATGTGATAATGGGACCAACTTCAAGGGAGGCCAAACCGAAATGAAAAAGCGCTTATGAAGCCAAGACTCCCAGTCTCAATGAGAAGCTTGCCAAGCATCAGGTACGCTTCGAGTTCAATCCCCCTTCTGCGCCTCATTTTGGTGGAACCTGGGAAAGGGAAATACGGTCTGTGAAGTCAGCCCACTATGCGATTCTTGGCAACCAGACTGTTTCCCCAACAATCTTGTACACGAGTCTTACAGAGGTTGAGGCTTTGATCAACTCGAAACCGCTGAGTTACATCTCATCCTATGTCGCTGATCCAGACCCTATAACGCCCTTTATGTTGCTCATGGGGCGGCTTGATCATGCGCCTCCTCAGTTGGTGTATCCCGACAGGGACGTACTTAGTCGCCGCCGCTGGAGGCAGTGCCAGGTTTTGATGCAAAGGTTCTGGAAAGAATTTATTCAGTCCTACTCACCTGCCATGCAGGCCCGTCAGAAATAAAGAGGTGCAGCAGAGAACCTGAAAGCCGGCGACGTAGTCCTCATGGTTGATCCTCAGCAAGCGCGTGCCTCATGGCCGTTAGCAAAGGTAGTCGAGGCGCTACCCGGGGTTGATGGTCGAGTACGCGCCGTCAAACTGCAGGCTGATTGTCGAGAATACGTCCGCCCTGTTGGCCGCCTCATCCGTCTGCCAGCCGAGCCAGATGTCAACCCACCTGACGGTTCAGGCCCGAGCCTCAGGAGGCCTTACCAACTTAAAACTTGATATCTATCAAGTCTATGCCTAACCTCAATTCTACCTGTTTGTCTTTAAACCAGTTGCCTTTAACCTTTTTGCATTTTACCCCTTGCCATATCTTTGGCACCTTTGGTAGTTGTTGTTTACCTGTTGTTAAACCTTTTGTGATGTTTTTGTAAACTGCTACTCGCAGTTTAGGGGCGGCTGTGTTGAGAAAAGTGCCACCGCTAATTTAAGAGGGCGCCATCTTGTAGCGCGATCCAAACGCGTGTAAACGGTCAAGCGTCGGCAAGCCGAATTTGGGGGAAAAACCATGGCCGGATAGGGATAGTTAGGGCATCTTTTTCCCTTATAATAACTGTTTATGATTGTTTATAGTATAATTCCAATAATTTGATGATCGATTCTTATAATGAGAGATTATTCAGTTGTTAATGCAAACATCAAAAAATAAAACTACCAAATCATTTTTAAATACCTTGCTGGACTGTTAGTGAATGACAGTGTAAAGCATCCTGTAAAATCATGGCACCTGGTATCCTGTCATTTTCAAGAAAAGTGGTATTTTTGTATCAATTTCCAACGCTGATCGCCCGATCAGCGTTGGAAAAATACTGGCCCCAATTGACCAAATTTTTCAAATACTGGCCCCAATTGACCATCGCACTTGTTTGCAATCAATTACCAACCTATGAACGGGTACGAGCCAGCTAGACTGGTTCTTTGACCTTACAATTCCCAAATGTATGTAAACTGCTCTGTTTCTTCTTATGGAGTCAGGGAACCAGACTACAGGAAAATGATTGTTTTTCTTGGTTTTTATAGCATTTTCGAACCCAAAACCTCAAAAAGTCAGTGTAACTATATTTGCTATATATTTCCAACCCCCCAATTCCATCATTTTTTTGAAAATTACAGTTAAAGCAAATGATGTATATTCCCTTTAATTCGGGTTCAAATTCTTCAATCACACAGTTTCGGAAATACACGCATGTAACGAACATTGATCCACCGTTACGTAGATATTACGTCACCGACACCACGAAGTAACACTCCACCGTGTTAAAGTGCATGGCGCGCACTCTGCTCATAATTGAGCAAAAACGTTTTCACGAAGTAACACTCTTCTTGTAACAAGTTGTATGAGCGCGCGCGCGCTGACCTGAAGTTGCACTTTCCTCGTGTTAAATACACTGAAGTTGCACTTTCCTCGTGTTAAATACATTGAAGAGTGTTACTTCGTGAAAACGAAAATTTACAGGTTCGCAGCTTTTTCGGTTTCACGAACTAACACTCATCTTTTTTCTCTTATTTCTTGTTTATTTAATACACAAACGAGTGAAAACAGCAGATTTAATAAATTCAATTCATCAAGTGTCCACAACGAGAAACCCAACTGAAAATACTCTGTCGTTTTGACGCAAAGTGTTGTATTAGAAGGAGTTCAACTTTAGTTGCCGTTTTCTCCGATTGCTAGTTTTTACTGGTATGTAGATGGGTGTTACTTCGTGGTGTCGGTGACGATTAGTGAATGTACATGTGCATGTATTTAGGTTTTCGACATCGTGTTTCTTGCCCTTGTTTAATTCTTTCATTGTTTCCTTGTTACCCTTCAGAACGGGCTAACCACTGCCAGGGTTAATAATTGACAATGACCTGGCATAAATGAAGAACATAGTACATTTTTCAGCCTCTACTGATTGTAATTTTTAATTGTAATTTCCAGTTGTCTTTTTTTAATTTGTATTACTTAATTTTGGATATTTCGTCTTGTAAACTGAATATTTTTAGTCTTCGGACTTTTTATTTGGTATTTTGAATAAAACCGAAATTGAATTGAATTGAATTGAACTGGAGTTTATGGAATTTTTCAGAAAATGTTGCAAAATTAATTTTCTTTGAGATAACTTTTGCATTGCCATTTTTTTTTCATTTTATGACCATCCCACCTTGAACAAGAAATTTGTTATTAGTATCACAGAAAACTTACCTTCCTTCCCACTTCAATTAAGTTTAACTTTTATTGTTTGTTCTAACTTTTGTTAGCATTATTGTTAGCACTTTGGAATATTAGAAACGAAAGAAGATGTATGTGTCCGACACATCTGAAGAAGAATGCACACAGTGCAGAAGGCTCTCTACAGAAATGAAGCAGATCAAAAAAGAAAACCAGCAGCTGCGAGAACTGAACATCAAGCTTCAAAAGAATCTCCTGGCAAAATTGGAAGGTAACGACAAATGTTTTGTCCCCAGTGATATTTAAACACCCCTCTAAAGCTATGTTTGAGCGCGTTTATAAGAACAAAACACACAGCCTTAAAACCAAATGTACATAATTAAAAAAGGCTTTCTGAAACATTTGTAAATAACAGGTTCATTTTTAACTGTCATTTTTCATAAATCACCTCAAAGTGGAAAATTATGCTCATATTTGTCATTTTGACGAACTTTTATTTTTTTAAGCTATACTTTCTAAAAAAATTAATATTCATTGAAAAAATAAAATATTAAAGCATCTCTTTGAAAGATGTCGATTATTGTTGTAAATTATAGCATGTTTTTGCAGTTATCTGATAAAGTCACCTCAAGCTTGAAGAAAAACAATGAATTTGTTGCATCGAAATGCAATTTCGAGTCCTTGCAACCAGAAAATACAAAAAGATGCATAATGTCGTGGATTAGAGACTGTTGATTCTTCAGTGTTGGGTTTTTTATTCAAAATGAAGCATACAATTCGGAAAAGTTTTGACAAAAAATAATTTCCTTGTAACGGTTGCATAAATTTAGAATATTAAATTCGATTACACAGAACACCAATCAAAAGTGTATAAAAACGTTGTCAATTTGCAAGGAAACTGTGCTTTATTTCATTCAAGCCGAAACTACAATACTCACAATCTGTACTACATGATTACACAAGTATTTGCATAAAAAAAGTAAATGTAGATTTCTCACATCAGAGTCTTTTTATTAAGGGATAGAAAATGTTATCCTCAACTTTCTCGACATCCGCATTACTGAGGGATAAAAATTGTATCCCTCAATTTTCTCGACAACTGTATTACTAAGGGATAGAAAATTTTATCCCTCAATTTTCTCAACAACCGTATTACTGAGGGAAACAAATCTTATCCCTCAACTTTCTCGACAACCGTGTATTACTGAGGGATAGAAAATTTTATCCCCCAACTTTCTCGACAACTGTATTACCGAGGGATAGAAAATTTCATCCCTCAACTTTCTCGACAACCGTATTACTGAGGGATAGAAAATGTTACCCTCAACTTTCTCGACAACTGTATAACTAAGGGATAGAAAATTTTATCCCTCAACTTCTCGACAACTGCATTACCGAGGGATAGAAAATTTTATCCCTCAACTTTCTCGGCAATTACTGAGGTATAGAACATTTTATCCCTCAAATTTCTCAACAACTGAGAGATAGAAAATGTAACCCTCAACTTTCTCAACAACCGTATTGATGAGGGATAGAAACCTTGCTATACTGATATATATATATTACATAATACACTGCCACCACCATCACAGAAATTATGTTAAACTGCCACCACCATCCGCCATTAGGGCTATTTACAATAAAGTTGAAATCACAGAATATATATTACACTGCCACGACCATCCACCATTAGGGCTATTCACAATAAAGTTGAAATCACGGAAATATATTACACTGCCACCACCATCCGCCATGAGGGCTATTCACAATAAAGTTGAAATCACGGAAATATATTACACTGCCACCACCATCCGCCATTAGGGCTATTTACAATAAAGTTGAAATCACGGAAATATGTTACACTGCCACCACCATCCGCCATTAGGGCTATT